ATGTTTTTGCAAAATTTGGTTACAAAATCGAATGTGGTCAAGTACTTAAGATTTGAATTTAATGTTTTCTTGAAAATGTGTTTGACTATGAGGTAATAGTTTTATTTAATTTATAAATAAGTTGTATAGAATTTATCTTTTTTAGTTAAGAAAATGAGTAATTAGATTACGAAGAAATTTAATTAATGATTAACTTTATTTGAATATGTATTTTTTATGTCACATTAGTACATTGAACTTGGGTGGTGTTTGATTAAGAGTGTTTGAATTGACTTGTTTTAAGTGTATTTAACTAAAAAAATTGTAAGCACTTTTGAAGTATTTAGGTAAATTAAAAGTGTTTATACATTACTCTCTCCGTTTAAAAAAGAATGGTCTAGTTTGACTTGGATGGAGTTTAAGAAAAGAAAGAATTTTTTTTGATCTTGTGGCTCTAAATTAAAATTTATGACAAATATACCAAAATGCTCTTTAATCTTGTGGTCTTAAATATGTCATGTGAAAAGTTAAAATTAAAGTTTTTCCAAAAATTAAAAAGGGGTCATTCTTTTTGAAATAGACTAAAAAAATGAGATCATTCTTTTTTAAACGGAGAGAGTATTGTTTTGCTTCACGAATTAAGAAAATGAGTAATTGGACGACGAATTATGGTTCACTAAGAAATTTATTAAATGATTATGTCACGTTAATACATTAAATTGGACGGGGTTTGATTAAGAGTGTGTTTGAATTAATTTGTTTTAAATGCTTTTAACTAAAAAATTTGTGAGCAATTTTGATGAATTTATGTAAATTAAAGTGTGTATACAGATTATTCTTTTGCTTCATAAATTAAGAAAATGAGTAATAAGATTACCAATTATGGTTTATTGAGCACTTTATTTACTGATTAACTTTATGTGAATATATTTATTTGTCATTAGTACATTGAACTAGCAAGCAATATATAGTTGTAATTAACTTCTTTATGCCTTAAGGACGAGATATTTTTCCCATTTCATTAATACTGTCTGATTCCATGATAAGTGTTCCAACTAATGCATCATAATATAGAACTAAAGATTGATCACGTGATAATTTGAGTTAAAAAAAATAATAGATAAATTTTGGCTTTGAGGCGTGAAGAATCACTTTCTTTCAAGAGTCATAGGGACTACAAGTAATTTTTTTATCAGAATACATCAAAGCCTGAAACCTATGTGCAATTGAATATGCTGATAGAGAGGGTAAAAGTCCCACATTGATTGGGCAGTGGACTGGTGGTGGTGTCCTCAAATGGACTATGAAATCCTTCCTTCATGAGATAGTTTTTCGTATTGAGTTATGTTTACGTGTCATATCTTTACATAATATCAAAGTTAGATCCATCATCGTTTGAGCTCCTGGTTCGCTGGTCAGTTTGGAAATCTATACCTAATGAACAAGCTTTTAGGGTTGAGTTAGACTCAAGTAGTTTCATATTTATTACAGACACGACATCCAAAAGTTCACTAATTATAGAAGCAATCAAGGAAACCTTTTCGATAAAAATCTCATTTAATCTCATTTTTTGAATCGATACAACCTTTGTGTTCAATTAATCTATTTAAATATTATGACATTCATATTTATAATAACTTATTTCAAGAATGATCTATTATATTTCTAACCATTAAGTGAGTCAAATTTTATCACATGAATTGAAAGAAGTGAGTTATTACTATAAATTGTAACGAAACGAGATGACAGACTTCATTATGTTCATAACTAATAAATAAGATAAGATGTTTTACTCATCTAACTCAATTACATAAGGTTGAAAGCCAAGTTGGATATCATCATCTTCTTGTCCTCCTTACATGAGTAGTGCTTCTTTTATGTCTTAAAGGCGCCTTTGACAATAAAGGAATCAAGACGGAGGCACGACTACAAGGCACTTGGCAATGGTCACAATATTTTTATTCCACCTTTTTTAAATTGTCCCACATTTATAGAACGAATGAGGTATAGATCTTGCACATTTTGCGCCTCATTATCTTGCCTCTATCAATGAAAGGTCAAAGATTCAAATCTTTACAGGGTAACAAAGTAAGACATGCCATTTTTATATATATGAAACTTGTGGGAACCTCGATTAATTCT